TGATTGGTCGAGTTGAGTCAAGTGCGCGCATTGGGACGTGTGTCAACTGGCAGGACGGATATAGATGGGTGTGTCTCTTGGGCACCCTTTCGGCATGTGGGGGCTTGCCCCCGCTTGGGATGCGGGTGATTGGAACTCAGACCCAAGCTGATGCCAGGCGAAGCGCAGGATCTGGACGAGCTTGCCGCAGGTGCAGTATCAGTAGGGTCGTATGCTGACCAGGCTGACGGTTGACGATTGACAAGATGGTCATGGTTGTGCGACGAGACGAGCAATGGGTTTGGTGCAGCCAGTTTGATTTGGCATGTGGATCCCCTGCATTGTGGTAACAAGTTCCATCTCAAAGCGACCACTGCCCTCAGCGGCCTCAGCGTCGCTGGAGTGCACGCAGGCGAGCCTGCGGATCCCGTCCAAGGCAGGGCAGTCCCTTTCGCCGGACGTTAGTCATGTCATTCGCGCCTTAGGCGTGGCATGGCCAGATGCGGCGGAGCTAGATGAAGGCGGGTGGCACAGAATGGCGAGGGGGAATTACTACCAGCAACCATCTCAGGTCGAAACAACAGGCAATCAGATAACTAGTGGTCACAGCTCTCAATCAGCCAAACCCGCGAGACAAGGGTGACAGTGTTGATCACTTCCGATACTGGCGCCAATCAAGTTGACCAGCTGCAGAAGCGGCGGACGCTGTCAGGATTAGCAAGTAGCAGCGGCAATAGTGGAGCAGGTCACAACTGGCTCCACGGATGAAACAATATGGGTGTGGGTCAAAATTAAACCACTAGGGGACCGCATGTTTTAGTCCATGTTTCCATTTACCAGGATTCCATTTTGGGTACCTTTTTTTTGAGCCACAGCCATATAGACACCATGCTCGCAGCCGACTGTGTCACTTGGTTCGGGGGATCGGTCGCAGGCTCCGGCGATGGAGGCTGGGAGACTTTTCGAATGCGCAGGAGGAGCCCAGCCACGTGCCCAGCAACGTGTTTTGTTTTTTCTGCCTTTGCTTTCCACGTGGCGTGCCGATTGTCTTTCTGACAAGCTGAAAGGAATTCCCCCCAGTCCACCGGGCGCTCAATATGGTACAATACATCATGCTTGGCTTTATGGTGCTTCATGCATGATGTCCACTTTGCTTTGTTTGGGAACAACGATGCTATGTTCTGTTGAGGTTGTCAAGGCCAAAGTGTTGGCATGATTTGGTGGCTTGTTCATCCAGGGACCGATTCAGAATTCCCGAGTGCGTTCCGGAGTGCCACCACGTTCACATGACGAAGGGCGGGTGCACTTTGGCCATTGGAGTCCTATTTTTTCATTTTCTGTCAAGAAGTGGGGGCCCTTTTTGCTGAAAAAAACATCAAAGGGAGACCGTAGATGTTGCCCGTTTTGAGCATGCTTCGTCTCCCCTTGGAGACACGCAGCTCGTCAGCGTTTTCCATCTCGCGCCAGATGGCTGGGACCTGGACTTGGTGGGCTCCTTGAGCTTTTCCGCACCGCTGGGAGGGCTGGGCTAAGGAGCTGTGCCTTGCATCCAGGTCCTAGGAAGTAGTGAGCCACCATAGGGGTAAACCAGGTTACATCCAGCCACGTACACCAATTGTCATATTGCACTCATATGGGTAATAACTGGAACCAGACTGAAGTCCTCATATGGGCATGAATTTTACTGGGGGACCCTTTGGCAGACATCACTTAGGGGATTCATGTCCACCAATCACTTTTGAGATGGTTCCCTATTAAAATTCCTGGCCATATTTGGGGAACCCAAAATTCGCCGAGATCAAGCACAGGCCTTGGCCAGAGGGGACAGTTGCATGTCGTGATCAGCCCAACACGGTAGGCCATTGGGGGTATTTGGTGTGACATACGCGAGCTTTCCCCAGCCAATCACCAGTATCCAAAGCAATGCGGTATCAGAAGGAACATGTTGCTGTTTTTCAAACTACTAAAATGTTGGTTTCTTTTTGGTTTCCCTTTTCATACCAACCAAAAAACGGGGTCCACCATTTTGAGAAACCCCAATGTTTCCTGGCACCTTGGCTTTGGTCATGCGTGCGTGTTCAGCCGATCCTTGAGGCTCCGCTGGACATTGAAAGTGACAAGGATGGTGGGGTTGGCGATCATGCACATGGGCATGGGTCAAAATGAAAGAGCTGGGCAAACCGCTGGTTTTAGCCACCGCCATATGATTTTGATCAAAAGCTTTGTGAATCTAAGTGAACGCGCAGTATCATCGTGGATGGAAAACCCTGGCGACAATGAAGCCCAATGCTTCGTAAGTCATGGCCAGGCCTAGCCTAGTCATGTACACCTCAAGTTTTACGAGGAAGCTAGCCTTGATCATGCAGGGAAGGAAGCCTGACGCGCTGTCTTGAGACTTATGTTGGACAACTTGATGCACGCGCTGGGTGACTCAGCCAGGAGGCCCCGGTCACCGCAAATGGCAACGAGCCTTCGGGCGAGCAGGAGGCTGCCAGGGCGGAGAGCACTTTGTTTGTGCCACAGAGCTGCCACGAGTACTTTGTGCGTTTGCCACTTTCTTGTTGACAGAGGTGCATTTTGCTTGGATGTTAGGACTTCAACTTTTTGCCAACTAATGGGTTTTCCATTAAACCACTAAAAATTAAACTTTTAGCAGGGGAGCAGAAAGCAACCGAGTTGACATGTGTCATCTTGTGTCACAGTCATTACTACCATGAGACACCAAGTTGGCAAAGCAAGAGACGATCGTTTTATGCTGGTGACATACCGTTCGACCGTGTTGTTGCGGCAGTTGCAAAACAGCGAAGATCAGGGAGCCATCACTACTGTGGATGGACGAAATCCTACACCACTTCAAAACCATGGGAAACTATTCTTTGTTGGTATTTACAAGAGATTCATCCTTCCAGAGTTTCACAGGTGGTGCAGGATTTCGTCCATCCACTGTATCACTTTGGCAAACCCGTGGTGTGTGTGAGGCGGTGGAAGCAGCAACAGCGCTTGTGGAAGAGCTTCCGGACATGTCAACGGAGGAATTGCAGGCAGATGCTGTCACTGAATTGTAAACACTTCGCGTTGCCCGCCTCGGCCCAGCCTAGTTTGAGGGAAGGGTCAGGAACACCGAAATCCAGTGTTGGGAAGGTCCGAATCCTACTGAAAGCTTGTGACCGCACCAGTTCGCCCGTACTAGTTCGATGTTCGGAAGCCGTCCTGCTCGGAAGGTTTGAAATCCAAAACCAAGACTATCTCAGCTGCTCAGTGCCCTTGGAAAAAAAGGACCTCTTTCTGGGGATGAGCATTTTTAGTGGGGCTTGGCCTCCATAAAAAGGGGAACAATAATTGGTGTCACTGAACAACCGAGACCAACTTTGGGTGTTTGGGCACCTCCATTTCACGTGGCTGGCGGCTTGCAATGACATACATTTCTTGCTCGGTTGCTCAGCCCAAGACAGGTACATGGTGGGAATACAATCCTCCATTTGCTTAAGTACCCCGGAAAATATCCCCAATGGACACGCCAGCAGGGACTGGGCCTGAGGCTAGTCTCAGGCTGGCATACCTTGAGACGGCGAAGGGGCTGGCCTGCTGGATGACTTGGGGCCAGACACGAGCAGGAGGTCAAGGCCTGGTCAGCTGCTTGGGCAGCCGGACTGGGGGGCTGGGGCACGTCAGGTAGCTGGCAGCTTGAGACCAGTCTCAGACACGTCAAACTGGTCGTTGGCCTGAAACCAGTCTCAGGCACGTTAGACAAACCTGACCTTGGCACGCTGGGCTGAGCCTGCTGCTGGGAGCTGGGGGCCGGCCTAGTGGCTGGCATGCCCTCAGATGCGCCGGGGCCTCGGCTGGGCAGGCTGGGTTGCTGGTTGGGCTGGGCCTGAAGCTAGTCTCAGCCACGAGGCTGCGAAGCCAGGTGGGTTGCTGGCTGCCGGGCAGCCGGACTACGCTGCTGGTTGCGCCTGGAACTTGGGCTGGGCGGGCTGGGTTGAGCTGTGCTTGGGCGGGTGGGCAAGGCCTGTTTCATACACACTTGGGCCTGAGGCTGGGTGGCAAGTTGCTGGCTGGGCTGGGCCTGAGGCCAGTCGCAGACACGTAAGACACGCCAGCAGGCGGGCTGAGGCCTGACACTAGTCTTACTTTGAGACCAGTGTCAGACGCGAGCAGGAGGTCGGCCTGGGCTGAGGGGCACGTCAGACAGGCTTAGTAGCTGGCGTAGCTTGAGACACGTGAGACTGGTCGTTGGCCTGAGGCCAGTGTGAGACACGTTAGACAAACCGACCTTGGCACGCTGGGCTGAGCCTGCTGGTGGGCTGGGCTGGGCTGGGCTTGCTGGATGACTTGGGGCCGTGCTTGGGCGGGTTGCTGGTTGGTCAGACAAGCTTGGGCCTGAGGCTGTGGCTGGGCTGACAGCCTGGCCAGCAGGCGGGTTGCTGGTTGGGCTGGGCCTGAGCCTAGTCTCAGACACGTGCTTTTCAGGACAAAAAAGCATTTTTTAGTGATTTTCGCAATTGTTCGACAAACATGGACCCATGGAGCTGGACGCCGACGAACCCCGAAAATTTCAAGGCCCGCCGGACAGGATTTTGGGCCAGCCGACATGGGTGGGGGGGGGCCCAGCAAAATTTTGGGGGGGAAAAGCGAAGATTCTCTTTGGAGAAGAGATCTGAGCGCCCTTGGCCCCTTTGGGGCCGAGGCGAATTTACTAAATATTAGGAAAAGCGTTGACGACTGTTGCTGGTGTTGACAGGTTGCGGTTTTCACGATTTTTTGTGTGGCATAGCCAGCCCTGCCATTTCGATGTTGATGCTGAATCTTTGTCCCAACTTTCAACATTAGTTTACTAACACTGCTGGAGAACCGTTGACCAGGTTCCGGACGCTCAAGAGGAAGCGGTTGAGGAGCCTGCTGAGCCTGCCGTTCTAGAACCAGAGGCACGCACACACCAACCATATCCAAGCGCTCGCAATGCAGCGGAACTCAAGGAGACATCAGTTTCATTACTTTGGCAAACCTGGGGGGCCTGTGAGGCGGCGGAAGCACCAGCCGTGATGGAAGAGCTGGCTGACACGGCGGAGGAGACTTTGCAGGCAGGTGCTGGCTTTGAACTTGCTAATCATGTTGAAAGCATTGGTGATTATTTTTCTGTTGGCGGTGGTATAGCAGTGCCCTGCCATGTTGATAATATTGAACCAATGCGGACATGATGGACATGTTGTCAGGCCACAGAGAACGCAACAGATGGATGGGATGACCTTCTCGGTGTGGATGAGCAGGCAGCACACGGACACACATGGCATGCTAGCGCGTAATGGCGGATTGTTTGACGCGTCTGTTGGTTATGCTAAATGAGCTTTTAGATGTTGAGAGCGTTTGTTTTTGTTGCTTGTTTACAGTGCTAATGCCACCCACCAAAGTGCATCAGACATGTGTGCGCGTGTCACTTTTGTGATGGAGTCAGCGACAACAACGGCTTGCAGACACCAGTCGCTACGTGGGATCCACGCATGCCTGCATGCTTCTCCCAGTTTCTGAGCTGAGTTAGCTGTCAAAGCTGGCAAACCGTTGACCAGGTTCCGAACGCTCAAGAGGAAGCGGTTGAGGAGCCTGCTGAGCCTGCCGTTCTAGAACCAGAGGCACGCACACACCAACCATATCCAAGCGCTCGCAATGCAGCGGAACTCAAGGAGACATCAGTTTCATTACTTTGGCAAACCTGGGGGGTCTGTGAGGCGGCGGAAGCACCAGCCGTGATGGAAGAGCCGGCTGACACGGCGGAGGAGACTTTACAGGCAGGTGTTCGTGTTGAACTTGCTAATCATGTTGAAAGCGTTGGTGATTATTTTTCTGTTGGCGGTGGTATAGCAGTGCCCTGCCATGATGATAATATTGAACCAATGCGGACATGATGGACATGTTGTCAGGCCACAGAGAACGCAACAGTTGGATGGGATGACCTTCTCGGTTTGGATGAGCAGGCAGCACACGGACGCACATGTCATGCTAGCGCACAATGGCGGATCGTTTGACGCGTCTGTTGGTTATGCTAAATGAGCTTGTAGATGTTGAGAGCGTTTGTTTTTGTTGCTTGTTTACAGTGCTAATGCCACCCACCAAAGTGCATCAGACATGTGTGCGCTGATGGAGTCAACGACAACAACGGCTTGCAGACACTAGTCGCTACGTGAGATCCACGCATGCCTGCATGCTTCTCCCAGTTTCTGAGCTGAGTTGGCTGTCAAAGCTGGCAAATCGTTGACCAGGTTCCGAACGCTCAAGAGGAAGCGGTTGAGGAGCCTGCTGAGCCTGCCGTTCTAGAACCAGAGGCACGCACACACCAACCATATCCAAGCGCTCGCAATGCAGCGGAACTCAAGGAGACATCAGTTTCATTACTTTGGCAAACCTGGGGGGTCTGTGAGGCGGCGGAAGCACCAGCCGTGATGGAGGAGCCGGCTGACACGGCGGAGGAGACTTTGCAGGCAGGTGTTCGCGTTGAACTTGCTAATCATGTTGAAAGCATTGGTGATTATTTTTCTGTTGGCGGTGGTATAGCAGTGCCCTGCCATGTTGATAATATTGAACCAATGCGGACATGATGGACATGTTGTCAGGCCACAGAGAACGCAACAGATGGATGGGATGACCTTCTCGGTGTGGATGAGCAGGCAGCACACGGACACACATGGCATGCTAGCGCATAATGGCGGATTGTTTGACGCGTCTGTTGGTTATGCTAAATGAGCTTGTAGATGTTGAGAGCGTTTGTTTTTTGTTGCTTGTTTACAGTGCTAATGCCACCCACCAAAGTGCATCAGACATGTGTGCGTGCCACTTTTGTGATGGAGTCAGCGACAACAACGGCTTGCAGACACCAGTCGCTACGTGGGATCCACGCATGCCTGCATGCTTCTCCCAGTTTCTGAGCTGAGTTAGCTGTCAAAGCTGGCAAACCGTTGACCAGGTTCCGAACGCTCAAGAGGAAGCGGTTGAGGAGCCTGCTGAGCCTGCCGTTCTAGAACCAGAGGCACGCACACACCAACCATATCCAAGCGCTCGCAATGCAGCGGAACTCAAGGAGACATCAGTTTCATTACTTTGGCAAACCTGGGGGGTCTGTGAGGCGGCGGAAGCACCAGCCGTGATGGAAGAGCCGGCTGACACGGCGGAGGAGACTTTGCAGGCAGGTACTCGCGCTGAAATTGCTAATCAAGTTGAAAGCGTTGGTGGCTTTTACTCTGTTGGCGGTGGTAAAGAAACTACCCCGTCTCAAGGACATGTATTCAGCTGGAATAGGGGCTCAAAGTCTGTAACACGAAGGCGCCCCTTTAAAACGAAGCCTTCAGAGATGTTCCATTTTGCGTCTTGTGAGTTTGGCATGGCTCATGTTGATGTTGTAGTGTTTTCAGGCCACTGACAACGCCGAAGACGGATTGGATGACCTTCTTGGTGTGGAGCAGCAGGCAGACAGGGCAGACTGAGCGCACGGACACATGGCATGCTAGCGCATAGTGGCGGATTGTTTGACGCGTCTGTTGGTTATGCTAAATGAGCTTTTAGATGTTGAGAGCGTTTGTTTTTGTTGCTTGTTTAAAGTGCTAATGCCACCCACCAAAGTGCATCAGACATGTGTGCCCGTGTCACTTTTGTGATGGAGTCAACGACAACAACGGCTTGCAGACACTAGTCGCTACGTGAGATCCACGCATGCCTGCATGCTTCTCCCAGTTTCTGAGCTGAGTTAGCTGTCAAAGCTGGCAAATCGTTGACCAGGTTCCGAACGCTCAAGAGGAAGCGGTTGAGGAGCCTGCTGAGCCTGCCGTTCTAGAACCAGAGGCACGCACACACCAACCATATCCAAGCGCTCGCAATGCAGCGGAACTCAAGGAGACATCAGTTTCATTACTTTGGCAAACCTGGGGGGTCTGTGAGGCGGCGGAAGCACCAGCCGTGATGGAGGAGCCGGCTGACACGGCGGAGGAGACTTTGCAGGCAGGTGCTTGCGCTGAATTTGCTAATGCTGGCGCATTTTGGCGGATTGTGGGCCACGTGTGCTGGCTTTGACACATGAGCTTTTAGATGTTGAGAGATTTGTATTTGGACATAATGAGCATTGAGGGGCACGTGTGCTGGCTATGCTAAATCAGTTTTTTGACCCAGAGCGTTCGTTGCTGGCTATGCCACCCACTAAAGTGAAGCAGCAAGAGGTGAACGTGTCACTTTGCGCTGCAAGCAAGTGTGGCTTGAACATGAGCTTCCACGTAGGGATCCATGAACGCTGAATGTTTGTCTCAGATTCCAAGCTGAGTTTGCTGACGCTGCCGGTAAACCATTGACCAGGTTCTGAGCGCTCAAAAGGAAGCGGTTGCGGAACTTGCTGAGCCTGCCGCTGTAGAACCAGAGGCACGTAGGGCAGGACACGCCAACCACATCCAAGCGTTTGCGTGTGCAGAAAAGATCAGTGTCACATCCGTATCAATACGTGGCAAACCTGGGGGTTTGCGAGGTGGAAGCATCAGCTACGTGTGTGGAAGAGCTTGCAGTCGCCGAGGAAGCATTGCAGGCAGGACTATAGTCATGTTGAAATCGTTGGTGACTGTTGCCCTGCTGGCGGTGTTGACACGGTTTGGTGTTTTTAAGTCTGGTATTGTGGCAGAGGCCTGCCATGTTGACGCTGAATCATGTGGACATGATGGACATGCGGGTGTTTTCAGGCCACAGGAAACGCAGAAGATGGATGGGATGACCTTCTTGGTGTGGAGCAGCAGGCAGAGTGGGCACACACACACACATGGCATGCAAGGGCATGCGGGAGCATGCGGGAGCATGTGGGAGCATTGCGGGGCACGCATGCTGGCTGTGCTAAATGAGCTTTCTGATCGAAATTGGGATTCATCAGTGCTAGTGCTGAATGTTTGTCCCATCTTGCAATCTGAGTTTGCTGACACTGCTGGCAAACTGTTTTCCGAGCACTCAAAAAGAAGCGGTTGAGGAGCTTGCTAAGCCTGCCGCTGTAGAACCAGAGGCACATAGGGCAGGAGGAAAGAGCAGACTGGACATAGTGCAGCATGATTGCTCATAGTCAGGCCCGTGCAGGCTTTGCTGAATGCTCTTTTGGATTAAGTACTTGCGTTTGCTGACAGTGACACTGCCACCCTCCAAAGCGAAGCAGATGAAGGAAAACGATGAGTTGTAGACGTTAGCTGCCACGTAGGATCCGCTACTGCTGCATACTTGTCCCAGTTTCCAAGCTGATTTGGCTGACGCTGCTGGCAACTGCTGACCAGGTTCCGAGCGTTCAAGAGGAAGCGGTTGAGGAGCCTGCTGAGCCTGCCGTTGCAGAACCAGAGGCACATAAGGCAGGAGGACACGCAACCACATCCAAGCGTTTGTGTGTTCAAACCTCAAACGCACCAAGGAGCAGGAAGAGGTGAGCATGTTGCATCTTCGAGAGAGTAGTCGCCTGCGTTGCTCGGGAAATCGGTTCGTGGGGTAACTTTTGTTTTTGTCGGGTAACTCGGTGTGCCATGGGGATGGGGTAGCTCGCGCGTGTCTGGGCTGAGAAATCGCCAGCGCTATGAGAGTTGGGGTTTTGACATTTCTGGATGCTCAGCGCGAGCTTGCTGACTCTGGCTGCAAATTGTTGACCAGGTCCCCATCATTCAAGAGGAGGCGGTTGAAGAGCCAGCCAAAGCAGGACCCAAGGCACAGAAAGCGGACACGGGTCGTCCTGCCACGCGCTCAACTTGGCAGTGCTGGCGGCAGCCCAACGGGTATCTCGTCCAACGATAATCACACCCGAGTCATTCTGGTGCGCCTACCACTGGGCAAGAACTTACAGCAGACTGCCCAGAGGGTAGGTCCACGTCGTAGTAAAGGGATAGACAACAGGACAGTCGGATCAACAGTGCCAGTACTGCCAAATGGGACAGAAACACTCATGGTCAAGAACCTGAAACCCGCTGTAAAAACAGCCTAAATTGAGCTGACCTTCTGCAACCAGGAAAAGCCTGTCTCAACCGGACGGTGCAATCGTCGACATGGCCTTCAACCCCAATGCCCTGGGAATGCGGTGTAAGTGCCAATAAACCGGATCCATTGCAACACAGAAGATTTCAACCAAAAAAGCCGGAGGCGAGCGGGTAGAGATGGGCAAGTCGTGTGACAAGCATTTCAATCGTGACACGCATGACAAACGATCTATTTCGCTTTGAGGCCAGCAGCAATCCTAGCAGGAATGTTCCGAATTGACTGAACATGTTGCGCTTTCATGCAAGCTTTCAGCAGCCCCTTGATTGCAGAGGATACTGCATTCGACTGTAGCGCACCATTTTGCCCCTTTGCTTCCTGGTTGCTAGGCGATTGATGGCAAGGCTGGCAAGGCAGACGCAGCCGAGAAGGCGCCCCAGCAGTTCGGTGGTCCCCCCTATTTCGGCGAACATGGTTCAGTGTTTTCTGCCAAAGGAGGTGACCATATAGTCGCGTGGCAAATGCTTGCTCACATCAAGATCCCGATTTAGCATATCCAGGGAGGCCCGGGTGCCACTTCGATCTGCCCTTCAGGAAGCCGTTGACGACTTGGCCAACGAACGGCAGTAGGTTGTGATTCCACCATTCATTTGCCTTCAACGTTTAGTAGGGTAATTTGCTGTTTGTAGATTCGTCTAGATATGTTAGACATGTTTGTATCCAAGCGAGTGAAGGAAGGAAGGAAGGGAGAAAGGAAGGAGGTTGAGTAGATGACAACATATTCTATCCTGTCTGCAGTCTAGTTTTCACAGATCATGTTGATCGCAAGATGTGTGGTCGTAGCTCAGTTCTCGAACACTCTGGAGGAGCTTTCTACAGCAAATTGCGCATACGAGCATGGGCCTACAATCTGATAGATCCCGTTCACAGCCTCTCGTGGAGGAGAGCCCTCCGGTCAACGAGGCAGGATCGGAGCAGGGCGGGAGATTTGGCTGATCATGGACAATTCTTTTCTTGCAGGAGTGTCTCTGCTTAGTGTAGTTACTCTCAGATCATCAGGAATCATGACTCTCAGGGAATCTACTCCAATTGTCCGCTCACTTGCAAGTAGAATGCAACATTTTATTACTTAGGAGCATTGGCGGAGTAACTCCCAGGGGCAGGCTCAAGTTGGCTCAAGGCTGCATGAGGGCCGGTTGAAGAAGCACCTTTCCGATCTAATCCACATGCCGGTTATAGTTGAAAATTTTCGATGTCCCGCTCATGCTATGTTCTGCCCGCCATGCTTGCTTGCTTATCCACAAGTGCTCTTCCATTTTGGACCTGTGTCATCCAGCAGTGCTGACTCTCCACAGTTCCATGCTCTGTTGGCCTGCAGTTTGGACTGTGTATACAAAAAGGAGTCAAGCCTTACCAGGGCTTTGACAAGTTGTATCTTGGACAGCTGTATACTCCAAATAGGGACAGACACAAATCCTACTGGTGCAATGTGGCTTGCAATTAAGATGTGTCAGCCGTTCATTTCCGCATGGCTGGCAGTGGGGCTGCAAGCCAACTACCACTGTAACTCGTACTCACGAGTTGTTTTAAGGGTATACGTCGTTCGTGTCCAAGGTGCCGCGTCCACCGCCGCCGCCGCCGCCGCGCTCATTGGATGAGGCTCTGGGAGCATGCTATGTTGAAGGCATGGCCTGAAACAGATACATACAGTGCCCCTGATGTTTGAAGCTTGCACCATTCTACTTCGCATAGAAGGCACGGTCAGTTGTTGAAGGTGCCTAAGTACTGACTGGGGAGACTTTGAGCGGCACGCCCAAAAACTGGACTTTTGAGGGCATGCCTTTTGTGTGCATCCAAGATCTCCCGAGATGTTGCTTTGAGCTTACTTTGGCCTGATGTATCAACGAAGGATAATCACATGGCAAAGAGCATCGTTCGCGATGTTTCTGGTGATAAGTAAGGCTTCCTTCTAAATATCGTTCCAGATTTGCATGGTGACTATTCCTGGGCACTTTAGCCAAGGGGTCCGCGGATTTGTCCATGTGGGTCGCCGCCTCGCCCCGCCTTCTTTTTACCGTAGCAACCTGGGGTGGAGTCCGAGAAATCGGCGCCATGCGTCAGCCAGGCGCCCAGACGTTGCCATGAGTTAAATGGCGCCCTATGCTTTGTTCAGCTTTCGACCCGTGCTTTTCCAGTTTGGTCAAGGTGAAGCCCGAAGCGTCAGAATTCCCAGCCCAAATTTCAACGCAACTGAACAAGATCTGTGCAATCTGTGCAATCTGTGCACGGCCGCGCCTCGCATTTGCTGAGCATAGGAGGGAATGGCTTCGAGAGTTCAACGCCCTGGGCTTCTGCTTGAGACCGCAGGACTGGAGATGTCGCGATTTCTCGTAGGTTTTGGTGAGGCGCCACCCAATCACCTGGCTTGGAATCAACCGGCTATCAGTTCAGCTTCGAGTCCACTGTCCCAATTTGCTGCTTGCCTCCAGCTGCAGTCTTCCTGGTGCCGAGCAGCGGTTGTTCTGTTCCGGATACCCTCTGGCCACACCAAACCGATACGACACGTTGACTACGGCGCATGGCAAACTCAGTGGAGAAATGGCTACTGCAGCTTGACGAATTACGAGCGCCATCGTAGCCCTAGAGAAATGTGCGCAACAGAAGCTGGAGATGAAAGGCAAACGCGTTAGAATTGTCAGCACAACCAGGCCATGCTCTGCATACGCCCTTACATAGCAGACACAAGACGCACACACACAGACACACAAGCCGTTGTTGAGTCTGTGCGCGGGGCCTGCAAAGTTTCGAACCCGTTTGAATTGCCAACTGAGAATCAGCAGACATAATCTCGTGCTGGGAGGATGCTGCAAGTGCTTTCTTTTCAAAATAGCATGTTTGCAGGAAAACACTGGTCTTGCCAATCTATAAGTAAAACCAAGCATGTACTTCCTGCTCGAAATCAGTATGACCAGCACAAAAGGCTTTCAGGTCAACCAAGACATGCTGCTGACGCTGGTCCGGCGTCTAAATGGCATTCTTTTTGGAAGTCCGTGAAGCAACTGTTAAAGTCGGGCTGGCTGAATGCTTTGCAGATCTTGCAGGGCAAAACCTGCATCCTGCCGTCTCCATATATCGGTTTAGTTTCTCCTTCTGCCTTTTGCCTCCCGATGCCAGTGTTCAGCGTGTTTGGCTTGCTCGGCCGTGCTGGAGCGAGCAGTAGATGTCATAGATCTGATGACTCTTGCAAAAATCTGGAAACGCGGCACAAACACACACGCGTGTTGTGACACCGGTAGGAAACTGATGCATTCCGATGTTCCCGCAAACTATCAGCGATGTCCCGTCTGTGTTGCTTCACAAGCAAGCATGGCTCTGTGACAGGCTGCCAAGCTTATAGGTTCCTTCCTGGAGACTTGCTCGGGCTCTCAGCCCAACGATTCGAGTCGCGTCAATTTGGTGTATATGGTATGACATGGTGTGCCGGCAACTTTTGATTCGCTGCCTTGATGTGGAACCGTGTGCACTAGAACTTGTCAGTGTTGCTGAGTGACGAGTAGGCGTTCATGCCAAAGCGATTTGGCTTGGATGACGAAAGACAAGCCTGAGCTGAAGCCAATGGCTTCGCAACCAAATCAATCGTAAGGCCAAAAAGGCAAGATTCCTACGGATTTCCTACTACACCCAGCAGCCAATAGGGAAACTACCCAAAACAAGCCCAAATACATCCGGGCACCACAGGTTTTAGTCCTTGTTTCCATTTACCAGGGTTCCATTTTGGGTACCTGTTTTTCACCACCATATGTGTGTTGCACAAAATGAGTAAGAGTTCCCTTGTGGCCACGACAATCCTTTCCACGAAGCGGCCACAGCCTGGACCATGGCGCGTGTTTTGCGTGGCTCCATCCAGCTTGTCCATTCGAAGTAGTCACAGATTTGTCCACCCTTCACCACTGCCAAGCTGTCCTGCCTAGTGCTTGCAGTTGCTCCTCTTGCGTGGGCGCGCATCTGCGGCGCGAGGCGATGACCCTGAAAATGCGGTGGAAGCGCTGGTGTCTCGCACTAAGGCCGATGTGTGGCAGCACCACAGGCATTTCCCCTCTATGTCTCATATGGAGTGCAGCTAAGCGAAGGTCGGTATTTAGCCGCGATTTACAGTAAAAGCGGGGGTGACATGGGGATATTCGCCAAAATGCCAGCAGAAAATATGGGCTATTGGTTGGATGGTTTGTGTTTTTGGCCTGGTGTGCAGTTCGTTTTTGGCGCAAGGCGCACCTGAACGCCAGCGCCTGTGCCTTTCAATCAGTCATCGATGAGGAGGTGATGAAGGCTGTGGAAAGCTTAGTCCCGGGTATCGCTCGTTGAGGCGTCCAAGAAAACCTTCGAGGGGGAATGGTTGGTTTCCTTTTGATTTTGCTCGAAAACAACGCCTCTAGAAGGGCCCCCCCAAGAATCATACTCTGCGCGAATGCATTAAAGATGGTTTAACCGGAGCTGTCTTTCTGTCATGGCGCAAGCGGATCTTACAGCAGCGTACAGCAGTCATGGCTTGATTGTTCCGCCACAGATGTGTGGAGACAGGTCATTACTGCAGCCGTGGAGGCAAGGAGGGAATGCTTGCAGAGCCTCGACTGTCCACGAAGATTGACATGCCTTTGGTCCACCGAAACAAATGGCCAACTGACTGATGCTGAAGCAAATTGTCCAGAGCTTGGCCGACAGCATGCGGAAATTTCATGCGTTTTCTACTTGCACGTCTTGTTTACCAAGAATGGCAGCTCTGCGTTCTCACGCCGGAGCATGGCTGCTTTCTCACGCCTCGGAGCTCTTGGGCATTGTTCCCCATTTCGGCTGGTGTTGTTTTCGATATCTTGACGACCAACTCGAGTAATTAGAATAGCTTTCCACCACCCCCCAAACACAGCAAGCTTGGAGCTATTCTCACATGAGTCAGCCACCAATCACAACACTGACCTCCATCATTACTCCCATCGGTTGCGTTCCGTTCCAGATTTCACTGAGCCCTGGTGGCAGGGAGTGCACCAGGATCCTGACGTGGAGGTGCTTCCCCCTTCTGTGGGAATCAGGAGCGAGACTTCCGACCTCAGTCCTTTGGTCTGTTTTTGCCTACCCGACTTGCACTGGTGCTGCGTGTGAACAGTACTGCACGTTCATTTTCTGCACCTTGTTGCGTCGGGGCCCCTAGCTCTGGCGGCCTGAGTGTTGAAAACATGAGCTTGACACGTTGCCCTCGTTTATGTCGTGGTTCCCATCACCAATGTACTGGTCATTGGAAATCAACTTTTGTTGACGCCTCTTGATTCTACACAGTATCGTGTCTGCTGGTTGCAAAAATAATGATCAGCGGAAGAACTCGGTGTGACACACACACACACAGAGAGAGACACCCGCTGCGCCACCTCCAGCCATCTCAAATGGGGCATACAAGAGCAGGTCGGCGGGCGTGGCTACCTTCAACAGCACACAGACACTCAGAGAGAAGCCTCTTTTGCATTGCTTTAGATCCCTGGTTGATGTCGACTTGGCCTTTTGTCTAAGATTTGCTACCCGCTACGGGCGTCATGCTGCTTGGAACTGGGACATGCCCTCAACACAATCTTCTTATCATCCAACCGCGGAGCAAAGTGCAACAAGCGTGCAGCGACACGTCACGCGCCTTTGAACCAAAAATCCAGAAACGGCGGTTGCCAACTCGACGCAGCGTCATGAGCCGGAGCTGCTTTGAGCTTCAAGTTCACAGAGGCTGGGAGTGCGACGTCAAAAGATCTGACTGGGGGCTGTTGAACCTTCAGGGAATAGCCACCAGGGTTTCTGTTGAGGGAGCCAGATGACCTCTTCAAGGCAAAGGTTGGTGCCCTTGCATGCTAAAGTGGTGTTTTGTTGCGCGGTTTTGTTGACCGGGTGATTCCCTTTTGGTTTGTGTTGAAGGGAGGCCAAAGGGAAATAAGCACTTTGTTGGGACCCACCCCCTATTTCGAGAATCACCCAATATGAACCCATAGATGACAGCATGAGTTTGTACTGTTATCAACATTGGCTTACTCATGGAGAAGGGAACCCAGGGTGCTAGCAGTAACTGGGCGTATGGACCACTGGGAACCCAGTTGATCAAGTAGCCGCTGGTGGTTTTTTGTGGGCGCAACGGCTCTGATCGGATGCGAGCGAGTGGAGCTCATGGAGGCCCAGGGCTCCCCGTGGAACGTGTCAAGCTGGCCGTCCAATTTTGCGGGACGCCCCACTTTCTGCGGGCCGACTTGCCTGAGCTTGTACCTGTTCGCCTCTCATTTCGACTGTTTCTGGTCAGAAACTGGGGCTGACATTCCCATTAAATCACATGGATGAGATTTGTGGTCAAAACATGGGCCTAGGTTGCTCAACGTAATATGGATCGTTCCATGTCAATCCTGAACGCTTATGGACAATCGAAAACATGTTTGCCAAAAGTGACGTCTTTTGAAGAGCATAACTTTTGATTTGCACAGTGCCCCTTTGACATTAAATATGTGTGGTAGCTTGAATTGAGGAGCTGCTTCTGTTGCTTTAGAGCCTTGCGTTCTTTTTTCGGCGGCTTGGGGCATCATGTGAACAGAAGAGGTGGGCATGCGAGATGTTTGCATTTGCCACTTAAGACGTGCTAGCCGTACAGACATGGGGCCTACACCTGTGACAAAGCAAATGCTCGTCCTCAGCCAATTTGCCGGAAGCATCAGCTTGAGCAAGAAAGATGCAAACATGTTGGTTGTGAATCACCATTTGATGAGTACACGGCCAGTCAAATAGACAAGCCGATCGAATCCGCCATGCCGGTGGCATCTGTGGATGGTGCGGACATCTACTTCGACCTTGCCTCAGTTGTTGGAGCCTACGGGCTGTTTGCGTTTGCATAGCAGCCAGCTTGCGAGGTAGAGAAAGTTATGAACGGGTTGATTCCTTGAGCAGTTTGTACTTGCAGTCTTGTTTGTGTGTGTGATGATCAGTTGGCTGATAGTACTGTAAAGTCAATATGAAAGGGAACCTATCATTGACCCGCAGAGTTCAAATCAGTTTCGATGAGATTCTGCGCACCACTCATTTTGGGGAATCACGTTCACCATGCACTTAGCAGCATGGGCTGGTGTGCGCCTACCCTCAACAAAGACAACTCCACATCAGAGACACGCGTTGCTATGCTTGACGTGGGAGACATGTCTCTGACCTACCCTGCAGGAAGATTCGGACCCAAGCGGGAGCCTTCCGGCCCTGATCTTCTGTCATGGTGCCGCTGGCAACACAGCGCCTCGGGCAAGAACTTGTCCGCAGACAGGCCGAATGAGTCCATCAAGCACACTCTGTAGATTCTCTGTACAACTTGCCCTGGGACTCGACTGAGTGGGCGACAGCTTTTTGGGCACAGGATTCAGAATCTACGTAAAGGCCGCGAGCAGTTCTGAACACCACATCGGACGCGGTGACTCATGCCGATTTGCAGCCAGCACCACGGGCCTGAACCACTGCCCACGTCCATACATCCATACATAGCAAAAGTACTTGCACAGCCAACTTCGAAATGAACATATAACCCACCTTGAAATAATGATATGACATACAAGCCAACCCACTTCCTCATGGGCATAAGGCGCCACCTTGCTAGCCACTGGCAAGGTGAGCTGGTGGCAGCAGATCGCCTTCTTCAGCCACGCGGCAAACAGATCGACTCCGCTCGCGACCCATGGTGTTTTTCTGCTGGCTGGGTGCCTATGCGCGTTCGAGTGAAGGTTTCAGCTTGCGCCGAAAGGACGATGTGTCCGTAGCATCTTGGAGCCCGTTAGAGCTCAGATAGGGTGAGCTTAGCGAAGGTTTTGGGGGATTCCCGTGGTCCGTGTCGAGATCCCGAACAGGACCGCATGGAAGGAGTACTCCCATGGACACGGTATGACGCCCAGAGTTGACCGTTCTGTTCAGGAGCTGAAACAAAGAAGCTGGGGAATCCATTAAGGAGACATGTACAAGGGTAACAAATACAGAATGATGGCTATCCACGTGGTTGATAAGTGTAAGCGCACAAAGCTAGAATGCCATTTGCCGAGGCGAAGTGACCCAAAAAAAGACTTGGACCAGGAAAGGCTCCCATTTGGAGCCTTGGATTTTGTGTGAATCTACGACACTGACTTCGGAATGAGAACAGTTGCCAATCAAACGCTCACGTCTGATCAAGCGCCTTCTAGAAAGGGTAGTTTACACAACCTTGGGTATGGGATTTCGGCAACCGCTTGGTAGGAAGGGTGGCAGGGTATGCCTGGCTGACAACGGCTGTTCTGTTTTAGTCTTGTCTGGATGTCAGCTTTTGAGCAGGATCGCCGCGTCAGCAAGATCCGTCCCCATGTATATAGGGCTTCTTTGGGTGCTGTTTGCAGCTGTACCTTTCAATTCGGAGAGCATGTCACGCGATGGAGCTCCGATTTCGATGTTTTGTTTCTTCTTTTTTTCTGCATAGCAAAGGATCTAGTTGGCGTTGCATCAGCTACGACATCCGCGGGTATGGTCGGACGCCCAACCCGACCGGGGACAGCATGGGACATCTCATCTCTGATTTGGACGCTGGGCCAGAGGGTGCTCAGGTTTGCCGCATGGGAGTTCTCATGTTTCAAGCACGAGTTCAGCCTGGATAAATCAGGGCTTTCTAGCTATCACCAGTTTGACCACCTAAAGGGCACCGATGTGCAGCTTGCTTGCTACTTGTTCAAGCTGTGCTGCCACCTCGTGCGCTTGGGAGCGTCATTGGGGTTAAATCGGTTTGCGCAGTGCCCTGCTGCTCTTTTCAGAGTCCCTTTCATAGCTGGTCTTGCAAATGGAAACCTCCCCATTCGGCTTGGCAGCCTGGTGCGAGACTTGTCACATACCCCAAAACCTGAATATCAGAAACCGTCAGATTCACCCACAAGGGGTTTATCTCGGGAGTCCCCGACGTAGAATCTGCCCGGGCCGTCTTAAGTGCAAGGGCTGGCACAATAGGTCCCATTCAGATTCAGATGTTGCTTTTCTTTCACACAAATTGCTGCTAAGGGCAGCGCATCTTACAACCTGCCCTTCTTAAGACCCCATCGCAACTTGCAAATGTGAGTCAGGGTGCTCTCAACGACCATCTTTCAATCCTGCCACTCTGTCTGGAAAATAACCAGGCAATGCATTTCAATCATAAGAGCCCGAATACCAAACTCATGGTGAGGGCGGTTTACCATCTCAAGTCCACCTCTTGTAGGCTATTCGCGCATCTTGTTTCCATCACTGCCAGTGCAAACAGATCGGCATCGGTCCCCTAAATGGGCTGGAGGTCGAGCTAGGGTGATGAGAGGGGTAAACCCTGAGCTGAATGGCTGAACAGGAAAACATGGCAAGGCTCCATGGCCTGGGCAAGGCGACCATTCAGAGTGCCCATTCTACCAGACCCAAACCCTCAGCCGCGCTGCCGCTGCACATGAGGGAACGCATCAAAAGTTGGAAGCCTTCCCAACAGGAGCCAAAACGGCTCCCACTTTTTTTGATACACGGCCGTGGGTCAAAATCCTGTGCCCCCAGCGAACGTCCGATTCATTCCCCCCTAAAATAGGTTCTGAAATGGGTGGCCCAAAATGTTGACCCACAGCCACATGTCCGGCGGGCAGTGACTTTCAACAGCTCTTAGGAGGCTCTCGTCCAGCACCTGGGCTTGTCCACCTGCTGTCTGGTGGCCCAATCTATGGGCGGCCGCGCAGCCCTGGGCTTTGCCACACGCGCCCTGGCTCGTTCGCGCATGGGCTGGCTTTTGCAACCACTGGCACCTTGGCAGCTGCAAGATGCTTCAACAAAAGCCTGGCGCACATGCCAATTGTGTTGTTCGGCTCTCCCCCATGATCCTTCTGTTCATGCCTACTATGGACCAATGACAAAGCAAAGATGATCCCTTGTTGCAAGTCCACGCCCCAAAACAAGGCATGAGTCAGAACTGCCCCACAAACTTCCCGTGCAACTCACGCCAGACCCAATGCGTTTTGAGAACAAAGTAAACACTCACCCATGTTGCA